TGCATAATCCTTTTTTTTTTTTTTTCTTTTTTGCTTTATCAAGCATTTAAAGCTTCCTCTGAAAACACGGGTGAAACTTTTGCCAGTGATGGTTTCGGCGATTGTGTTCCCACCGTGACCGATCACGGAGCCGCTGGGGACRTGCCCTTATGGAGCCAACGCACAGAGCACCCTTTAACACAAAAATACACCTTACTGCCCACCTCCATGTACAGCAGGCCTGGAAACTAATAGCTTGGYGCTCTTAGGGTTTTTGAGGATTTTCGGATGAACGTTGTCAGCTTTTCGATGAAAATTTTGGGATTCTTCCTTTCTGTGTCACACTCCTCCTGAAAAATTAATGAAGAGAATGAGATTGTTTAATGTTTAACAATTGCATAGAGATTTTTTTTTTAAACTTGATGTTGGTTTATAAGTGTTTCTTAAACCATAAATGAATCCTTGTTTTAGAGATGGGTCAGACTGATGGCTAGGGAAGGGTAGAAATGTGAGCTAGTAGCAGGATTTTTCCTTGCATTTGCCGAAGAAAACGGATTCCCTTCTGCACAGCAGTGAGAGATCAGCTGTGAGTCGTGGGCCACGTTTTATCAGACTGCCCTGCTGCATCATCACTGGGGAAAGTCACCGCAGAAACAAATTCCTACCTCTTTTCCCGGGCGCAGTGTGAGCGATTGCTTCAATCTTTCAAATTTTTGGAAGAAAGCACCAAATTTGTTCATATCCAGTTTTTTCTTCAGCAGTTCCGTTCCCTCAAAGATTTTGTTCATGCAAGTTACACTCTGAGACAGAAGAAACGGCAAAACTGAAATTACAGAAGGCTGGGCGCTGCAGTTAGTTTGCTGAAAAAAAAATTATCTTGATTTCTATTCAGAGAGCTGGGTGACAAACTGTGCTACTGGTTGGGGCTCCTCTTTGCAAACGGAGGTGACCGGGCTTCATTTACCTGCCCTGACAAGGGCTGGGTGCTCCTCGCAGGAGCTCTGCAGTGCCCAGGGGAGTCTTGTTGCCACCTCCAGGTTTAGCCCCRGCTCCTCGGGATTGGTTTTAAGGCRGCTTTGGGTCATTTGCTTGCAGCAAATGGTCTGGCTGGTCTAGGGGCTGGGATTGATCCGAGATCTGGTGAGTGCAGCTGGGATTGGGTGAAAGGGAGGGCACTTGCTGCCGTGGGAGTGTTTTAAAAGGGGGCAGCAGGGGAGGGAAATCCTCCTGGTGCAGGGGAAGCTACAGCAAGTGAGGAGAGGTTGGGGAGGGGTGGAAGAAAAGGAAAGCCAGAGAACTGCTCAGCAAASGGAGTTATCCTGCTCGTCCATAGGGAAGTAAAGCCTTGGACTGTACAAGCAGCAGCTGTGCCTGGGGAGATGCCTGCACCTTGCACCCCGATTTCCAGGTAATGCACCGCAGAGCAAGACCTCACGAGCAGGGGCCCCAGCGAGAGCAAGGGGCTGTTAAAAGAGCCAGCTTGCAACTAAATCCCCTTTATGCAGGGAGTTAGTGCAGGTCTTTTGAGCTGCCGGGGGGCGTGGGGGGTCTCTTGGGGATGCAGGGTGGCAAAGGAAGCAAGAGGATTCCAAGCTCTCCTTTAAGACAGGAGCCATTCCCAGATCCGGAGCAGCTAACGTCTTGTACTCAGACCACTGCATAAAACTGCATAAGTAGGATAAAATGTTGTAATGCTGCTAATCCTGTTACTAATGCTAGCGGTGTCACAGCCCATCTCTAAGCACAGACTAAAGATTCTGGGGTGAGAAAACGTCTTTGTGTGCATGGGGCAGAGAGAGGGGAGCAGAAAACGTCCCTTTCCCCCCTCCTCCCTTAGCAAGGCTGAGTCACAGCATCCCAGGAGGATACGCTGGCCCAGGAAGGGTATCCCAGCAGAAACTGGGATTAACCGCTGGCCTTGGCTCCCTCCATTGCACRGCACTCCTTTGCCTTGTGTCTGAACATTTTGAATAATGCTGTAGTTATGTTATTAGATCTTCCTTTAAGTAGTGCTTGCTTGTGTAGAAATTACATTGAAAGTGCAAAGCTTTTATCTGAAACACAAATTGAGTACTCTGTGGAGAAGATAATTTTAAGATGATCCTTTAGTTTCAGGTGACTAAACTTATGAGAAAGTTAATCTTATTTAAAAAAAAAAAAAAAAAAAAAAAAAAGATTTTACTTACATCTGTGTGAAGTGGAGTTTCAATCCTCCAATTCTGAAAAATAATACAGTAATTAAGACTTTCGGGTGACTTCTTAAGCTCGGCAAGAAAAGGATGCTGCATTAAGGGATTATTCAGCCRGTAATAGAAAATAAGATATGTAGCGACCGAGGTGACTGCATTTAGGAGGATGAAAGGGGACTCACCGGGGCGCTCGCGGTGACGGCGCCCTGCACGGGCTCCAGCAGCGCCAGCAGCTCGGCCACGCCGCCCAGCTGGGCGGCCGCGCAGCCGCCCGTGGCCAGCAGCATCACCCACAGATGCATCTTCACGGCCCCGGCGTCTCGGAGCTCTGCGAGCGCTCCAGGGCTAATCCCCTACAATTTATCATGTCTCTAGAAGGAAATGATCAATTGGGGGTGATTTTTGAATCTGATAAGGGGGGGGGGGGAAAGAAAAGGCCATTTAGTGAGACTTTCTGGAAGAGATAGTTTCCAGTAAATTTTGTGTTTAATCTTCGGGCATCCTCCTTACCCAGTCAGCAGTTCTGCAGAAGGCCGTAGCAGCGAGGTGAGGATGTGGCCCTTTCGTTTTAGCTGCTGCGCAGCGTCTAGGGAGATGAGCCATGGCTGCGGGTGCGCTTCTCCAGAAAGCAGCGGTGCCACCCTGATAAGAACCTCCTGCCACACGGCGGGGAAAGAGCCTCGGGAGGAGGGAGAGGGGTGGAAAAAATCATGCAGGGGAAAAAAAAATATGGACCATTGCCTGGAAAGAAAATCAGCAGTGYTTGTGCAATAGCCTGGCTGGATGGGATCGTGCCGTGGGTCTCGCGGGGAGCTGCCRGGGTCCCGGCAAGGAGCCCCTGCCGTGGCAGGCGGCACCAGCTGCCTGGATGGGCGATGTCTTGGTCCTGGGGGAGTCCTTGTCTTTCCCTGCATCCTGRAGGGATGCATTCCGTCCCCTTCTTCCCGTGGCAATGGCACCTGCGGGTCCCTGGGCACGTCTGAGGTTGGTGGTGGCTCCATGGCTTGTCCGGGGCTGTTGTGGAGCGCAGCACTGCCCACCCTGCTCTATCCGACTGCTCCTCTCCAGCAAGAACCCACTGCTTATTTTCCAAGCTGGGCATGCAAAGCTGGTAACTGGGGGTGTTAACAGCATTTTCGGTCCCCATCACTTTCTGGCAGTGGCAGAAGGTGTTTTATAGGCAATGAGCCTCCCAGAAGTGAGTGCTTGCTGGGGTTGACCTGGTGGCCACACTCCGCTTGGCTCCCTCCATCCAAGGACAACCTGGATCCAACTTGCTGCAGGGCTCAGGGATGGGCCAGGACCTTCCCCTTTTCCATAGGCCCGCTTTGTTCCCACAGGTTGTGCCTAAGCAAGACCGGGCTGTTGTGRTGGCTGGCAAGCCGTACCAGCCCATGCCAGCTGGCTCCCGCTCCGGCTCCCGAGCCCGCTCGGGATTCCCAGGTTCTCAGGGATGCTCGAGCCTGGCATCTCTAGGGATGCCCAGACCTGGCCCAGCTTCCATGGCCGGCACCCCTCATCCTGCTGCCACTCGCACCATCACCAGCACCTTCTGCCTTTTCCTTCTGTTCCCCCCTGCATTTGAGGTCTCACTTGTTTCCACAGCATCATAACTCCGTCCTAGGACCTTATATGAACCGAGTGCTTTTATCTTTTTTTTTTTCTTTTTTTTTCTTTTTTTTTTTTTTTGGCAGATTTTGTTATTTAGTCATAAATTCCCAAGAACTCCTTGCTTTGCAGTTCCCTGGAAGCACAGATAAGCATTTTGTTGCAAATGCCAAGCGCATGCTGGTCTTTCATCAGGAATTTGGGTATCTCCTCCCAAAAAAAGCTTTATTCTTCACCTTTGCAGAGTTATTAACTCTCTTGTTAATTACTCCCAATCAGATTTGGTAATGCATTTTTTTTTCTTTGCCTCTTCTGCTTTAGATAGCTTCTACTTTAGATAACTGTCCAAGTGTTGGTCTTTTATCATTAAGATTTTTAAAATCGTGCTTGCACAGACTAGAATCACATCTTCCAGCTTCGTACCCCTGGTTGCCCCGGGAGGTTTCTTTGACGTGTGAGCGCGCAGCGAGGAGGGGAAGGGCAGTGCGAGCACCAAGTAGGGCAGCGCTAGCGAGCAGAGGAACCCCAGGGGTGCTCTGCACCCCTCCRCCCCTGCAGCTAGTCCAGTTTGGGAGGGCGGGCAGCGCAAAGGCGCTGCAAGTGCTATAATGAACCTCACGGTGGCTCTGCACATGTCCTTGTGCAGGTCTCACCACCGGCACGTGGCCCTTGCATCAAACGTGGGTTGAGCTGCTGGACGGAGCAGCCCGCGGCGCAGCGCTCGGCACGGCCGAGCGGGACCCAAAGCCGTGCCCGGGAGCCACGGAGCTGCTGCCACCTCCGTGTCCCGCTGCGGGCAGCGCTAGCGTGAAGCTGCAGCTCTTTGCAGTGCTGCTTTTGCTCCTTCATCTAGATAAGCGCGAGCTGCGATGCTCTGATAAGGGCTCTTTGCTGGCGCAGCACGGAGCCCCTGGTGCAGCTCTGCCTCTCCGGCTCGCCAGCTCCAGCACATGGAAACTTGGGAAAATCAGGAATTAGCCTGCGACAGCTTTCCTGGGATCACTTTCCCCTGGTGATGGCAACATCTGCTGGAAGCAGCTGGCATCCCTGTGCTTGGCCAGGGAACCGGCCGGAGGAGCTGTGCAGCACAGTGGAGCTCTGGAGTGCATTGGGACCCTCCTCTGCTCCCCTCCGTGTCCAGGAGGAAAACAGGGGGAAAATGGACCTTGTGGAGCAGCCTGTGCAGAGCCATGGGTGTTTCCTGACCCAGGACAACAGTGACACGTGTGACACTGCAGATCCTGTTCCTGCCTCCTCCGCAGGGGCAGGAGAGGTAAAGGTGGATAAGGAGCTTGGAGTTTTGTCTTCCTTCCTTAAGTCCCCCTTAACAAACAGGCACCTTTTGGCTCGTGTAATCTTGCACGTGGAGATGGCATTTCATCAGCTAGCTTCGGTAGTAAATACTGCATCCTTTCCTAAAGATAAGGAATTCCTAAGAAATATTTAAGTTGTTGTAACCTCCTTCTGGAGCTGCTGCTCCGGCCAGTGGAGCACGGTCCTGTAGGGACCTTGGCCGCAGCCACAGAGGTTGGTCACATAAAAATATGCTGCCTTAATTAGAAGGAAACCCTCCTGCCTGGTGGCTGTGCTCCTGCCCCAGGGCAGGGAGGATCAGGTCCAGGACCAGGGCGGGCATCTCCCCCATCCTGGGCGCTCCTTAATTCTCACCAAAGAAGGGTTTCCATGTGGCCAAAAAATTCACAGGAAYTGGTTATACTTCCCCTACAATATAAATATGCTAGGAATTACCTGAAAGGCATTCTGTARTGGGTCATGAGTAAAAAATTTTGTGTTTAAAAGCTGGAACTGAGTTATCTCTTATCCTGGCAGATTTTACAGCCCCAAGACAGTCACCTCCTGTGGCTGCAGTGACCGTTTGACCTGTAGWTATGGTGTCCCCACTTCCAGAGGACCTGTGAGAACAGCAAGACAACCCCCAAAGCAGGTCATTAGCCGGCACCCTGGAGCTCCTGCTTGGGAGGTGGAGGGACCTTGGAAAATCCTGACCTTGGAAAACAAGGGATGAAGCACTGGGAAGCATCCCAACACTGTGCTTCGAGGAGGCTGGGATGCTGCGGGCTGCCCAGCTCTCTCCCGTGTCAGCCCTAAGCCAGGAAAGTTGAGAAAGAGTGATCCTGACCTAAGGAAAGCTGAGAAATGTCGAAGAGTGATCCTGACCTAAGTAACACGAAGGAAAATGCTTTCTTAAGAAATGGGCCCTTTGGAGGAATGTTGTTTATGCTTCGTTAATGTTCCGTGGGAGTGACCGTTCTCTGGAAACAACTATGAAATATCCGAGCAGCTTTTCAGGAGAGTCGAGGTTTAACTCCAAGCAACCAGCTGGGCGATCGGAGCCTGCTGGGCACAGGGCTCCGGGCAGCTTGGAGCAGCTCCCAGGTATGTTAGGAACCCTGGCTTTTCCAGGGTTATTTCAAACCCTCAACTTCAGCCTTTCAGCACCATAGGAGAGTAAAGCAGCCGGCGTGCAAGGACGAGCTCCAGCCTTGGCTGCTGGTGCTCCCTGCGCCGCTGCCAGCGCAGGGCGCTCCGCAGCACGAGGCTCTGCAGCTCCCGGCCGCCTCGCAGGCTCCGCCGGCTGCATCAGGCTCCCGTCTTTACCTTTCAATATCTTCTCTTGCAACTTTAAGATTTCTCATTGTTTCTAAAGTCTTTTAACTTGCCCTGTCTAAGAATGAAATTGGTAGGAGCCTGCAACCCTGTGACTGTATAATTCGTTCAGCACAAATTTTTCAGTGTATTTGTTGCTCTGTTTTTGTTCATTGCCTGTATTTTGCTGTTAAAGCGCCCTTTCTCTGCTGCAGGTCAGGCTCCCCGGCTCGCTGCATCTCCGAGGATGTGCTGTCATTTCCACGGGCGCGAAGGAGAGCTCCTGGCGTGAGCCACGGGCACTGCTCCGAGTCCCCTATACATGTTGAGCCGCTCCRAAACGCGGCTTTTCCCACGCTGCCAAACCTGCTGTGTGACCACGGCAGCGCCCCGGCGCTGCTCACTGTGCCTGCATTTCCTCTCTGCTTCTGCATTTATTGCTTCCAGCTACAGTCTATAATTCCACAGTCTAGTGGATTAAGGACTTTTGCCCAGCTAAAACCAGGGTCTGGTTTCATCTGAACTCTTCTCGGTCGCCTAGGCAGGAATCRTCCTGCTAAGGAAGCAGGATTTAGAAAGTCGCCCCTGGCTCTTGGCCAKCCTTTTGTTTCTCTCGTCATTTTGGGGGTATCTGTTATAATTTTACAAATGCACCTCCCCGCTACAGTCAACTTCTTGAACATAATTTTGCTGAATTACTTATTCAAGTGCTTTACTTCATAGGAGAGTTTCCACGACGTCCCCCCAGAACATGGATAGTGRCTATGTTTGATTTAAACCTGCCCAGTGCCCAGATCACGCAGTTCCTCCAACCGCTTCATGCCTCAAAAGCAGGAAAATGAATTCACATCCCCACRGAAACCCTCGGCGTTTGACTGGGAAAACATCATTTGCTTCTGCTCACTAGAAAGAGTGCAACTGTTCTCTCACACTTCAGATTTTAGAATAATATTGTATCTTTATTTAGAAAAAATAAATCACAAATTTTTCATTTTATAAAGAAATAATAATGGGGGGAAAAAATGAAGCCCAGATTAGACGTTATTTACTATTTTTTGTTTATATTGTTACAATTCCCACTGGTATATTTATATTCTAATAGCCCCTGAAAGGCATATGCAGGGGCCTGTATATAAAAAATACGATAGAATTAACATTTAAAAAATACTTTTAAAATTCTATTTTCATTCACAATCGCTTTGAACATCACAACTCCACAAAATACAAAAGCTCTCTATAAATTAAATAAATACATAAATAGCTGTAGTAAGAAAAAGAGCTATAAATATTTGATAATAGAGACAAAATCTTCCTGTTAAGGTTGTGCTGCCTCTCCGAGGAGTTTTCCAGGAGCTTCTTTCTCGATCAGAACTAGCTCTAGTGTTGCATAGGTGCCCACGCAGCCCTGCTGTTCAAGCACAGTGGTTCTTTTCATTCAGCTTTTCAAAGAACCTTTTATAATGTCTCAGGGCAGATGAAAGTGAAACCTCCTTCATTCGACAGGAGCTGTCTTCCTCGCGTTCCTAGAGTAAGGAAGAGAAGGGTAATAATATGGATAAAAAATAAGAATAAGAGCATGTGGTTGCAGGGAATTTGTTGTTGTTCAAAGCGATAGTTTAATAAGAAAGATAAAACCTCATGGCTGAACTGAGAGAAGAAGACTTCTGAAGATCAGGAATATTTCTTCATTCATAGAATAAATTTCCTTAATAAAATGTACTTAGGGCCATTTCCTGTTTATCGGTTGACCAAGGATAAATCCAGGATTTGTCTAAGGCACTTGGAATACGGATGGAAGTCACAGTTTACTAGGAGCTTCAGGTAAGGATTTGCTATAAAAGCATAGTTTACTGACAGCCCTAATGCTCCACACCACAAAAATAGCCATATACAAAAGCAGTATCAAGATTTTGCCATTGACTTGAGTGGACCAGGATGCTCAGAGTGCTTCAGTTTCATGTGTTTTGAAGACATATGAGCCAGTCCGCTCGTAGTAATTTCACCTTTTTGCCTGTTTAATCACTATCGATAATGCACAAAAAACTTACTCTATGTTCTATGCTGATTTTTTTTATTATGTGGGCCATGTTGCTCTCCATCAGAAAAATATATTTTGTCGCTGGCTCGTTCTTAAATTCTTCAGTTGACTTCAGCTGCCCCATGGTATTACGAAGGTGATGATGAACACAGCTGCACTAAAAAGAAAAATCAAAGAGTAAAATTATTTTTTGTCACATGGGGTAAATCTCCCACCAAATTTACTAACTGTAGGCATAGCAGAAACAGAAATGACCTACTGTCTATTTATCTAGCTGTATACCATTAGGGATAGGGGTACTTTTTCTGGTTTCTTTTTTTTGGGGGGGAGGATGCTTTTAGTTTAAAAATCCACAAGAGGAGAGAAATGAACATGTAAAATTAAAATAAGTCTTTAAAAAGGACACATAAATCAACAGTAGAAAAAGAGCTGCAAAGAGGGATTGAATGTGTTGGTGTTGCAGTTTCACACATCGCAATGAGCAGCTTGGGAAGATTAGATCTGCTCATCACCTTGCATGATGTTGMCTTCTAAGTTTTTTAACTTTTAACATCTTCATGTGGAAGGAGAGAAGCACCATACTATTCTGCCTACAAAAAAGCTGCTTTTCAGCCTCTTTAAAAGTGCAAACTCCTAGCCATTTCCCCCTGTGAATAACATCTTCAGAGGAGAGGTTGGCTTTTTCTTAGCTGTTTTTCATGAAACCCCTTCTTGCAGCTCAAAACCCCGAGGAATCTGCAGACCACGGGCTGCAAACCACCGATCTACAGTTTCGGTGTGACGACTTCTCCTGCCTGCTGCTTCAGGGACAAGCTCAGCTATGTTTACGGTGTGTCAGAGTCAACAGGGAGTATCGTCCGCAGATGTAATCTTGATTGTATTCATCTGTTTGCTCAGAGATAAGGGCCTTTCAGCTCTGTAAGTATTAATCGTGCTCTGTGACTTGTGATTTAAGGAGAACAGGTCACATCTAGGCATCTAGGTGGTAGTCATACAGTAAGGATGCAAACAGCCTCAGCAGTAAGCTCCCTGTAAAAACTTATTGACTTCTATGGGATTAAAATAAGGTCTCAAGGACCTTGACCTCAATATTTGTTATTTGTTTTCATGCATGCAAACAATTTCACTGAATTTAACAGAGCAGTCCATGTGCATACAGGTAAGCATGTACATTCAATTTTGGAGAGATTTCGTCTTAATAACCTAACGCTCACAATCCATTACAAAACAGCGTCATTTTTCAAACGACAAACAAAAGCACTAGCAAAGAACCTGTAAAAAAATCTTACCTCGAATCTGCCTTTCGGTACGTGAAGAAAGATCTAAAATTCAAAAAGCGAGATAGCGTTAGCAGACACTTCTCAGTGAGGCATTGTTCAAGCATTTCTGACTACCTATCGTCTGTATCAGCTTTTCTATTTCTGAACTTCCTTTGGGGAAACAATTGCAGCGCCAGCCTCAGCACAGAGGTTATCACACGGCGCCTGCAGCATCGCAGCCTTYGCAAACAGAAAACAGGAGACCTAAACCAGGGCTGAAACTCGCGCTCTAGCTCAGAGAGCCCCACTCAGTTTTATTCTTCCATCAAAGGAACCGGAGAAAAAAGGGAAGGAAAAGGTGAGGAACCCACCTCGTTGTTTCCTAGCTTCACTAAATTCTTCAAGTTGTCTTCAAATTCTTCTATTGCACCACTGCCCATGGAGACAGACAGGCAGCAACTCAACAAGAAGAAATAGAGGAGCAGCATTTTCACTTCCAGGAGAGCTACGTTTCATTCACGCCTTTTGAACACCAAAGCTGCCTGTATATATACTCATGTACACCTTGAATGTTAAATTGAAGGGAAAATTTTCTCATATAGGAAAAGTACTAGGCACAGTACTAATTATTATAGGTACTGTGGGATGCCTCAATGGGGACAGGTTGGGGGTTTCCTTCCCTCTGACATCAAATAAGGGGAAAATACCTTTGTAGATAAGAGATGTCATTTTCTTGCACGATATCAGAATGTCTTCACAGGAAATGGGAGTATTCCTTGTTTAAAAAAATACATATATGTTCATGTGGTTCTTTTCTTATTTCCGCTTCATCTAAACAGATAGATGGAGATCTGGAAACCTAAGACCTCATTTCTTATATTACAATCAATATAATATCCTCTGTTAAATGGGATTTTCTAAGATAAGCTGCAATTTCAGTTTTGGTTGGTAAGGAAACATTCTCGCTCGAGGGAGTAAGAGCAGATTTTTAAACACATATAGATCTTAGCACCATACATGTGATTTCTGCAGCCTTCCTCTTCTCCTCTCCCTGTTCTGTGAAATTCAGCATAAAATGCATAGCTAGGAAAAGCATGGGTATACCTAGCAACATCTAAACAGCAAAAGCAGGCATAAAGGTAGAAATTGGCAGTCCAGGCATCAGGCAAATGCTTTATTTGAATTTGCAAAAGTCCTTCAATATT